TAGGGAAGTGGGCTCTCCTCTCAGCCTTAGGGAACCTGGGTAGCAGGAGTCCAGAGGATGATGAACGTAAGGATGGTGAGCATTGGTCAGCTGTAGAATGGGACATGGCTTACTCATTTAAATAGGTTAAAAGTCCCCAAATAACTAATAAAAACTGCACTTGCTTGTTTGACCCCTCTCTGAACACTGGCATGTCTGTCTTTTTTTAGGTGGATTGGGTCCAGTGCGATGGCAGCTGCAACCAGTGGTTCCACCAGGTGTGTGTGGGCATCTCTCCGGAGATGGCAGAGAAGGAAGACTACATCTGCATCAGCTGCACGGGGAAGGACTCTCAGTATCGGAAGTAAAACTCCCCATAAAACGTTCAGGACTCGAGTAAAGAAGGTTATCAGAGTTTCTCCACAAAGCCACAGGGGCTGGTTTAAGAGCCAGACTGCAAATGGTGCTACTTCTATCCTCATGGGATCATTTTCCAGAACTCAAAATAATTTTTGACACTTTTGTATTTTCCCTTAATCTGTTTGTGGTTGTTGAGGTTTGAAATGCTGACTGTTTAGCAGGGGTTTCCACCAATTTGGAAGGCATTTGAAACATGCACCTTTTATTGTACAGCATTAAATTACCTCTCTGGGATTTACCGGCATATTTAATTCAGCTTGGTTTAGGTGAAGAAAAAAAAAAAAAACCTGCACCATGAATTTTCCAATAAATCCTCTTTTGAGGAAATCCCTGTTTACTCTGTTAACTCTTTGGAGACTTTAGTTTTTTTCCACTTTGTTTTTTCGTAGACTAGATTTATTTATCTGAGCAATAACTTCTATGTCTGGTTTCAGTGACTGGAATGACAATTCTGAACAGCGTGTTGCTTTTAGCATTGGTTGATGTACAGAAAGCAAATGTTAGATCCTAGTGTCACTGATGGCCTGGTGATGTAGAAGACAGAAAAAGCTCTGTAAAGTAATTGCCACAGCTGTATTTTGGCTTTCTCCTTTTTTGGGTAGCTTGTATCAAATGTTGCAGTTTATATTGTGGAATAAACCCCTGGTTATGTTATAAAATTAAATGTTGGTGTTTTTAGAGAGCTTGAAATGCAGTTTCATTTCCCTCTGATTGCTTCAAGGGATTCTCTTATCAAGAGAAATCCCTGTTTAAAAAAAAAAATCTTTAAATGCAAAAGCCAGGATATTTATTTGCTCATAAATTACATTCTGTGAGGAGAAAGTAGATCGAGATCTTACACCAAAAGGATTTGTCAATGTCTTTTTCAATGTCTTTTTTCAAAGCTTTTCCAGAATGGAAATTATTTACAAGTTGGGTGAGCGAGGGGTCAAAATTAAGGTGTGTGATTTGGAGAGTTCACCTGGGAGGCAAGAGCGTGGCAGCTTGGACTGCAGCCTGGTGCAGCTGCCACCTCGAGCGGAGACCTTCCCTCCTTCCCTCCGCGCACGCCAGCTCGTTCGCAGAGCGCCTGGCCGCTTTGCTCTGTTTGCCAGGAGCCTGAGGAGCAGGAAAGCTCTAGACAGGTCTATCCAAGACTGTGTTTTGGGACCGTAGCCAAGGAGGGGAAGAAGGGGAGTGCTTATTTCTCTCAATGTGGGCTACACACACTGTAAATACCTGGAATATAATCACTTCTTCGGAAGTGAACTGGTGCCAGTGGTGTTGCCTGTGTTGTCCGTTGAAGACATAGTGTCTAAAGCCCTAGGAGATGGGAAGGTCCTTGTATCAAAGACAGCTTCCTCCTTGTGATATCCTGCCATCCCCCAGACTGGGGCAGGGCCCGTGTTTCCTCAGCTCCCGATCAAGGGAAAGTTGCCTGTAAATTTTTCTCTGCCCATTCTGAAATTTTTCCCTGGTCTGGGAGCATTCAGATCCATTGAGTTTCAGGGCATTTTGCAAAGTGAAATGGTGGAATTCTGTGTGCAGTAAGAACTGAATAAGAATTAGTTTTTTATGGAGTTTTGGAGCACTTAGGCTTTTTAGTTTCCTGTTGATTTTTAACTAACCATAGAGAGCATTTTCAGCCTTGCAGAGATGATTTGTCTAAGTGGATGAGGGGAATGCAGGGGGCAGGTAAGGCAACATGAGCAGAGTTACAGCACTAAGTTATGTAAATGTACATATATGCTTTCATATTATGACTTTCCTGTATTATTTACTCTAATTACCCAAAGGAAGTTATGTGACTGTGGCTGGATTAAATCTTTCTGCAACACTAAGGTAACAATCCAAGCCATGCAAAAAAGAATAGGGAAATGAACAAACTTGAAAAAAGAGTTTGCATGGTGTTGTGATGTAGCTGAAAATTTTTAATAGTTTTCTCTCAGCATTCCTTTTATTTCCACTTAAGAAATGTTTACTAAAAAGTGCTAGAGCAAATACAATGCAATTAATGTTAGGATTATGATTCACCACAGGAGCACGTGAAAGTTGCAAGTAGAAGGTCCTAAGAAATGGCACCTCCTGTGTCACAGAGTCACTTCCCCATGTGGATACTTAAGTTTAAGTCAATTTTTAACTGTGTTGGACTAAATGAGCGAGAGAATTGTTATTTGCTTCAAGGTGGGCTCTTCTGAATGTCCCTTGCATATCTGTCATGAGGGGCGATGGCAGCGAAGGCAGAGCGCTTGCAGCAGGAGGGCCTGGTAGGGAATATTGGTTGTCCTGTCTCCCCTTTTCTTGCCTGTTCAAAAACTCCTGAGGAGAAACCAAAGCAGAAAGGGATGTCCTCCCATGGCATTCCGCCTCCTTTGCTTTCTATAGAATGAAGCAACTGGACACGTGAATCTCCTTGGCTCCCTCAGGTCCTAATACCTGAATGAGAATGGTGCTTCACTGTGGCCTAGGTTACAGCTTGTAATTTAATCCTTTAATCGGCTCCCTGTGCATCTTTCTCATGCCACAGGATGAGTGCCAGAACAGCTAACAGATGCCCTGTTGTATCGCACAGTTTCGGTGACAAGGCCCTCCAAAATGTAACCCCAGTAAGATAATCCATCTCAAGGAGAGGTGAGCGTTCAGCTCTGCACATTTAAAATTAAGACCATAGTGCTGAAGGCATCTGTGCCCAATTCCAGGACCTGGATGCAAGGTTCCTAAATTGTTTGAATCAAACTTTCTAGCACTGAGAGGAGAACCGTCTGGGGGGCAGGTCTTTGGCCCTGGCTGTTTCTGAAGCAAATACAGAATTAAAAGCCTTTGGGCTTCAAAACACTTTGGCAATATCTTCAGTTCCCTCTAGCAGCTGTGAAACCAAGGGCTATCTTAAGATGGCAGTTCTGAAGGAAGCTTGGAATTGATGGTAACCAAACTGGTCACTGCTGTCAACTGGTCACCCAGCTTCATGGTAGTAGTTGGCTCTGCACGTGGATCTGCAACCTTGGATCTTTGCAGAAGGCTGCTTCTGAAGCTGAGGAAAGAAATTTCGGGGCACTTGGCATATGTCAGTGCTTCCTAAGCGAAGGTGTCAGAAGGTTTCCTTCAAACCTTCCCTCTACCACAGAGGTTTCTCCACAGAGGTAGTGGATGCTCATTACTGTACACAGGTAGTCGTCTGGGCAGTGGTGCCCTATAGCCCTACTGGTCACCAGCAAAGACAAAAATCTGTGCAACAAAGTATATTGGGGAAAAGGGCATGCCAAGGATTTGCTATAAATTCCTTGGTGGAAAAATTCTGTCTTCAAAGTAAACAAAATAATCCAGTCTTTCCCTTTCCCATCATTTCTGGGTAATAGTCTGTGCTGCAACTGCTTCTTTGGGCTGGGGAAGATGGGAAGGTACAAATATTTAGGGGTTCAAATGAGTTCCAGATACAGAAAGGATACATTTTTGTATAAACAATATATTAGCTCTCAGTATTTCATATTCCAGTTGAAATTAGGGGATATAAATGGAATTGATTCTGGGAGGGGAATGTTCCCTTTACAGTTGTTGAGTCATGTGTTTGCATATCAGGTGTCACTAAAGATATCACTATAGATGTCTTTGGACAGCCCCATACTAAGAAGAGAATTAAACAGATGTGGAACAGGAGGTGAAGCAGCCACAGTAGATTAATACCTTAGTTCAACATATAACTGCCATGTGAGACAGACAAAAGTTGAAGATGGCATCAGTAGGTTCCAGTAGAAACAACCCAACTAGAACAAGCACATGTTTTATGGAGAAAACAAAGGAGCATGAGATATGCTGCTGGTTTCAGAGAGGGGAGGAATGTTTGCTTAAATATGGTTGGAAAGAAACCTTGATGTACTCCAAATAAAAAACAGAGCACAGCTTCATCCGCTTCTGAAAGTACCTGATGTACCTCAAGTTTTCCAAGTTCTGAAATGTTTGTCAAACCTCCTACTTGCAGCAATGCTTTTAAAGGTACCTGCATCGCAGTAACTTGGGCAGATTTGCACAAAGTGTCTGGGCTTAGCTCCTGGAATCCATGGGAACTGGACGTGTAAGAACATACAAATACGTATTTTATAAAGCGTGGTAAAAGTGGTAGCTCCCTGCCTACGGAATATGAACTTACCTTGATGAGCTCTCCATCACACAGGGTTTGCTAAGGATAAACCAGCACCAGAGAATATTTTTGGAGTGTTTAGTCTGCTTCAGTATCTATGGGGCATTTGGGACTTTGTGTTCTTGCTGCTGCTTGAAGTTAAACTTTAATGCAGTCGGGGACTGACCCAGGATCGGTTTCCTCGGCATCCTGGAGAGGTTATAGCTCCCTGTCCTCCTCGTGCAGCCTCGCTCGTGCTTGGCCTCTCCCTCGGGCTGGTCCTTCTGTCTCTTGCAGGATTTTTTTACTTGCTGCCCCCCTCTCGTAATATCTGTGCATCATTCCATAGGGGTCTGGCTTTGTGTGGGTCCGCAGGGAAGCTCAGAGGCTCTGCATGGGAAGAAACACTGTAAAATACCTTTTCACACTAAGAAAAGATAGTTGTTTTGCATAGAAAGAACTTGGCTTGCTTAATACATGTCTAAAGAAAGGATAAACTTCATAAGCCCTGCTCCGGAGATACCCCTTCTGCCCCTAACCTGCATCCTCGTTTTCCACAAAAATCATAGAAGTACAGGGGGAACGCAGTTGTGACATGTAAGGGGGAAAAGAAAGAGCACAGATGCTTCATAGGGATGGAGGCAGTGCAAGGGCACCGGAGGAAGCGTGAGGGGGCAGCGCTTGTCCAGCAACATTGATTTTGGGGCCGTTTTGGGACGTTATTTCTACTCATAGAGAGCAACTATTTTGTCCAGTCCATTGAGAAGGGGGCAGGATTATGGATTAAATCAATAAGCGTCATGAAAGGCGGCATGTTTACTATTCAGTAATGTCCACAGGACGTGGGCCACGAAAACCCTCGTGGGGTGACCACAATAGCGATTTTATCTTAAAAAAAATACATGTAAATATATATATGGATACAGGCGGAAGGCTTCCTCAGGCAGAAGGGAGGGCAGGTGATAAGAGACCCCGACGGGAGGCGCTCGGGGCCCAG